TTTCTTTTGATTATAGATTAGTCTTAACATACTTGTAAATAATTGTATATAATTTTTTAAATGGCACAAAGTAATTGTATATTTAACTTTTAATGGTTGTACACGCTTGCTTATGAAAGCACGTCGGGGTGTAGTGATAAGGCAAGTATTGTCTTCTTTTAACCCCGGTCATGTAGATCTTATTTATACTACACGGCATTGTATTCTTTTTTTTTACTGACGAAATAAATTAAAAAAAAAAAAATAACCTCAATAAGCAGCCGTGGCGCAGTGGTAAGAGTTCTGGCTCAGAACCCAGAGATCCGAGGTTCGACGCCAGCTCTAGCCCAACAAGTGACATTTGTACGGAAGGAGGCGTGAACTTCCTGTTAAATGCTCTTCTGCGGTGCTCTGTGATAATACCGTAAGGACTTCTGGGAGCACCTAAAATATCTACAAAAAAAAAAAAAAAAAAAAAAAAAAAAAAAAAAAACCTCAAAGTAAAAAAAATCAGACTCAAATATTAAAAATGATATAAATAAAAAAGGTAAAGCGTATTTTGCAGAATCATGAAGTTTTAAATAAAATATCATCCAACTACTTTATAACATTAAAAGATCACAAAGACAATTTTATAAACAACCCAACAGTACGGTAATAAACCCTGCAAAAAATGAAATTAGCAGAATTAGTAAAAACCATAATTTCCAATATAAATTTAGAACTTGTGAACATTCTCCATTTAGTCCAGTGGAAATAAACGCAAGATGTTATAACCTGGTTTAGGTCCATTAATGATACGCATTGTTATAAATTTTTTATTTCTGATATTGTCAATTTTTACCAATCCATAAATGAAAAACTTCTAAACAACGCTATTAGTTTTGCTGAGCAACATCTGGTAATTGATCATGAGAATAAGTCATTAATTCAACAAGAAATTCACAACTTTTTAATAACGATCAAGTATGGATATAGAAATCAGGGAGATTATTTGATGTGTCGATTCGAGCCTTTGACGATGCTGAGGTATGCGAACTTGTAGTAGGGGTGGTCCAAAATTCTATGTTTCTTGTTTAACTAGTTATTCTTGTTTAATTTTTTGAGAAAAGTTTAAAAAACAATTCAGTTTTTGCTAATTTTTTATGGTTGACCTTCTACTTCTATTTTAAAAATTTAAAAGATATAAAAATTAAAAGTCTTTGCAAAAGTTTCTTTGCGTATAAAGTTACGCAACTTTTCTTTCAAATTTATGCAATTCAAAATTTGATTGGATAAATTTGATTTTAGAAAAAAAAAGTGTTATCTGAAGTCTTTTTCTAAAAAAAACGTTTTAAATAAGTAAAACAACAGATTGTTTCAAAAAAAAGTTTTATCTGAAGTCTCTTTCTAAACAAAATGTTTTAAGTAATCAAAAAGACAGATTGCTTCAAAATATCTTAATTTCCTTTTTTTTTTATTTATTTTTAATCGTTATTCAAGCTATCAAGAAGGCTGTTCAAGATTTCATTTTTTTTTTCACTTTTCTTTAATGAAGTCAAGAATAAATCTTCTTTTAAAGTGCCCGTCAATAAAAGCTCAGTTAAATTCTAAAGTTTTAACAACTCTAAAGATAAACGGTTAGTATAAAAGAACACCGCTACCTAAAAGGCTTTATAAAAAACAAACTGGGTGATCAAATTTTGAAATTTTCTGCTTTATTCTAAAACGCAGTGAATAGCTAGTTAAAAAAAATTCTAGAAGCAGTTAATAAGTATACCTCAAAGAGGTTGAATGATTGTATCATTCTTGCTAGAGTATTTTGGCAAAAATTAGCCTCAGGACTTCAAAAAAGGGAAAAGTACTACGTGTTTGGTTGATGATCGAATATGATTAGTATTAACTTTCTAATTAAGTTGTTGCAGTTTTTTGCAGAAAGCTTTGGAAAAAACCTATTTAATTTCAACAGTAGATGTATACTTATCTAAACCGTATAAAAAATGAATGTTCGCGTTGTTTAAAAATATTTTGGAAAATTATTGTCCAATTATTTGTCCAAAAAGTTGAAACTATGGAATATAGTTGAAACTAGCTACAAAAACAAATGGATAACAATGGAAGAGCAGTAAACTTTACATCAGGTGTGCAAGATGAGTTCTATTTTAGTTTGATTAATGTTACAAGGCAGCCCATTGAGCTGTGAACTAGACATTATTGAAGTAGATAAAGATATGTTAAAATGAAAAAAAAGTTCGAAAAATGAGGTTCTTTATTTTAGGGATACAATGTAGGTCATTGTTGCGGAGGTCTATTCTGTTTAAATACATGATTGTTGATATAAAAATACAAACCTCCATCTTATGTCTATCAAAGAACACGCTCATAACCTAGATGTTCTATAAGGAAAGTTCACGCAGCAATCTTTATCACATATGATGACTTTTATAGTTATTTTCCATTTTCAATAGTAAATAACAAACTGTATAAATTATTTTCATATATAATGCTTAATTTTTTTTGTTACTTATAAATAACAAAGTATATTATTGATAAATTAAACAGAAAAAGATTTCTAGTTTTCTACTTTTCTTATATTTATTGATAATAATACATAAATTTCATCTATTTTTAACAATGCCTTTTTTTGTCAATATATTTACTTTTATCAAAATCAAAGTAAAAGGCTAAATAATTAAAATGAAAAAAAATGATTTTGATTTTCAGAATCAGCAAGAAAGACTAATTAAGAAAAATTGGTTAAACTATAAAAAATCTAAAATAAGACGATTAAGGACCCCCCCCCCCCCTACTTGTAAGAATTTTTCTTTTGTTTTAGGTTTTGCAGTTTTACAATAAAAATAAATTTGGATTATACCGGGACAATGGTTTAGCGGTTATTAAAAATAGAAGTGGACCTGAAATGAAAAAAATTAAAAAACATATTGTCGATATATTTAAACAAAACGATCTTCTTACACTGTAAATCCTAAAAGTTCTTCGCGGTTGTTTGCCGGTTCTTTGAAGAACCTAAAGAATCTTGGAGAAAATTTAAGGTTCTTTAAAGATCCTACGAGTTCTTAATATTCTCTAATGGTTCTCTAAAGAACCGGCGACTTATTTACAAAGCAATACAAAGAACCCACAAGGTTCTTCAAATCGTTTTCGGCAAAACTTCAAAGAACCTTAATTTAGGATTTTTTAAATGTTTTGTAAACGCCATTTTATTTTTCTAATCAGTCGTTATATAGGTAGACCAGTATGAATTTAAAAAGAATGGTATAATAACAATAACAAATGATTATCATGACAGTATTTAATTTGTGCCATAAACCATAGTCATAGTATTTAACATAGTCATAGTATTTAAATACTATGTAGTCATAGTATTTAAATACTATGACTACTCGGTGTAGTTAGGGCACTTTTAAAATAATAGAGCGTCTGTATGATATTTTGTTGACTGCGACATTTTTCCGTTAAACAGTCTGGCCTGTGAATTACGAAAAGACGAAAAAACTTAAAATGATAAATTTTGCGGTATCATAAGCTATAAATGTTTGTAGCGAAAAAATCCAGACTGATAATTTTTTTTTTTTTTTTTAAATCATCTTAAAATCACAATCGCTCGTCCAAATTTAAATAAGATTTTATATTAACAAGTTTTTTAGGTGAAATTAACAATATGATCTGTTCTGATCGTTTATTGGCAGTTTTCCATAATTATAAGCTCTTTTTTGGTCGAAATTCCAGTATTTTTTTTAAAAATTGATAGAAATATTGTGTTTTGACAACCATATTTAGTTAATATACGTCAGAACCGGTTAGAACTAGGATCAGTAGTAAATTAATAAACTTTTTCAAAAGATTTTAACTAAATTCATATTAATGCCGATAAGCGGAATTGATCTAAAGACTCTAAATTAGTGCTGTTTAGATACACTATTACGGGTAGTAAAAAGGTTTTGAAAATTATATAAAAAAAAGAAAAGTTTCTTTAAATATTATAAAAACCTTGAGCAAAAAAAATTATAGCATTTAAAGATCTTGTTTGGACATAATATGCTGACAAAATCTTGCTAATTCTAAATAAAAGTGTTTGAATATTTTGTAAATCGCCTTAACTACACCGAGTATGCTTAAACATTTGAGTTGTTTTTGTTACCGTTATTAACATCAACTACGATTATAAAAGCAACGTGTTTTTTTAATTTTTTTTCTCGAGCAGTTTTCTTTTAAGAAAACTTAATTTTCTTTAAGAAAACTGCTCGAAAATAAATAATAAAAAAACACGTTGCTAATGATTTATCTATTTTGTGATATATCTACAATGATATATCTATTTATAATATGCATAATAAAAGCATATAGGAATAAGAAAATTTCTTATTCCTATATGCTTTTATTATGCATATTATAAATAGATATATCATTGTATATTGCGAATAGTTTTGTTTAGATAAATAAATATGTCATTTGTTTCAATTTAAAAAATGGCAGATTATTTGAACTGGAGTATAGAAGATGTTTGCGTATACTTAGAACTTAAAGGACTCCCAGAACTTAGACAAAAAGTAATTAGTTAGATTGAAGTTTTTATTTATTTTCAATTATATAATTGCTCAGGCACGATATATATATATATATATATATATATATATATATATTATATATATATATATATATATATATATATATATATATATATATATATATATATATATATATATATATATATATATATATATATATATATATATATATATATATATATATATATATATATATATATATATATATATATATATATATATATATATATATATATATATATATATATATATGTAGGTACGTGGACTGATTTTTTTAAATTAAATAAATAATAGACTATTATATATCATTAGAAAGCCCTCAAATACAGTATTTTAAAGGTAAAAAAATTATGAAAATCGGACAATTCTATAAAAAGTTATAGCGTTTTTAGTAGCAAATTTTCGATATATGGATTTATTGAAGAAACTGGTTCCAAAATTATTTTTCTTCCCACTAAAATTGTTATAACTTTGTCAAATCTTATCCAAATGTCTATACCTTGGTATCAAAAGATAAATGTAAGAGTAGGCTACAAGTTCATATAACTCTATAGATAAAAGGGGTGTCTAGAGGGCCGGAGGGGGTACGGAACACCCTCGTACCCTTAAAAAAATACAAGTTTTTTACACGAAAAGGTGTTTTTCTGATAAAATATATTATCTATATACACAAAAAATTGTTCTAATTTGCTTCCATTCCATTTCCAAATATTAGTGGTCTATTTTAGATTAAAAAGTCGATGTCTTTGTTACGTTTTAACACCCTTGTAGTGAATTGTTCCATTCTCATAAATACTTTAACATAAAAAACACTGATTATATTTTGTGATAAAAAGTTCAAATTGTAAATTTAAATTGTAAAAAACACTGATTATATTTTGTGTTTAAAAGTTTAAATTGTATTTTCTTACTTTACAGCATTTAAAAGTGTTGTATTATTTGACTTCATGGCTGGGATGTGTGGCTGGAACACCCTCTGCCTCTTCCCCAGTGTTCTCCAACATTAAAAAAAAATTTTAAAAAGAGATTTAAAAAAAGGTTTTCAATTGAGTTTATTGAAGAAAAGAAGTTAGTATACAAGATTATTTTACTACGTTAGGGGAGGGGCGTGTCACGACCAACGCTCCCTCCCCCCCTTCTACTTATTCACACTTTTTTCAATTGCATTTATTTAAAAAGACAGACATAACTTTACAAATCTTACCACATTATAAGATGTAAGATGGAGTATCCACCCTAAAAATAAGCCAAAGATAAAACAAATTTTATAACTTGCATTTAAAAAGTGACAAAACATTAAATATAATAAATTTATGTCTTGGCTTTTAGTAAATGATATTATTTAAAATTCCAATAATGAAACTAAATAAATCACTTTTAACAATAAACACCACGTGAAGGTAAGCCAGAGCCGTCTATCAAAAATATTTTACAAGCTACACAACTTGCGGTACTCCTTTTGCAAGCTACACAAATTGCTGTACCATATTTGCAAGCTACACAACTTGCTGTACCATATTTGCAAGCTAAACAACTTGCGATACTCCTTTTGCAAGCTAAACAACTTGCTGTACCATATTTGCAAGCTAAACAACTTGCGATACTCCTTTTGCAAGCTACAAAACTTGGGATACTCCTTTTGCAAGCTACACAACTTGCGGTACTTCTTTGGTAATTTTTCAATATAATGTAAATATAATTAAAAACTGTTATACATAATATAAACTATTTTCATGTTCAAATATAAATTATAAAAATTTAAATAAAGTAGCATATAAATTATTTTTATATTCAAATTAAGAAAATACTAATTCTCCTGTCATAACATCAGTAGCAAGCTGTATTTTTTTCATCTTATATTCAACAGCTTCAATATCTGTTTCATCTTGAATCCAGTAAGAAATAGTGCAAATTCTGTCTTGTTGTCTCTTGTTTACTTTTTCTACTCTTCCATCATAAATAACTGTCTTTGAATAGTTGGCAACATACCATTTGTGACAGAGTTTTCTTCCAACAATTCTTTCAGACATAACATCATCTAAATCATCAAGTTGCTTGGCAGATAAGTGTTTATATAAATTCATTATTTCGCTGGTAGTTAATAGACATAGCTCACGCTCTAACTTTCTTTTTTGTTTTTCATCCATTTTTTGACGTTTAAACACCTGTCTAACAGAAATTTCTGTTCGAATTTCATTATGTAGTAGTCGAGATCTCATTCTTTTTTTACGTGCCATGTAAATAGACCACTTTACTACCTTTTCTCTAGACAACTCCTCAAGATTATTGAGATAATCTATAGTTTTATTCTTTTTGGATCTTAATTTGCTAGATATATAAGAAATTGTTGCATTGGGGCATCGTCCTTTGGCATCACTAAACATACTAATTCTTAAAAAAAATACTAATTCTTAAAAACAACTAATTCTTCACTATCTATATTGTGAAGCCTTGCACTAGCTGTCTCTTTTTTGAGTTTTGCAGTAATGGAAAGAGAAAAATATCTTTTTATATTGACGAGTCAAAACTTCATCAATTGCATTTAGACAAGCAGAAGTCATTTCAACAATTTGCTCATCAATGGGGCATAAAGTTGTAATAGATTGTAAAATATTTGGGGCAAGCGTTGTCCCAAAAAAATCTGTTTCTCTACAAAATAGTATAGCTGGATCAGATTTGCAATAAGTAATTTCTTTTAAAACATTTTTTACTAATTGGATACCAGTGACATGATCAAAACTTGCATCATCAGCTGATACATAAAACTTAGTCATCCAAGGTCCACTTAGAAGTTTACTGAACAGCGCAAGCACTCCCATTTGTTTTATAGCTGTTGCATTACAAAATGCTTCTCGTAGAATCGGTTGTAAACTGAAACATTTTACTGTTCCAGTGGTCAGATAATTTAGAAAATCAGTATAGTGTTTCATAAAAATGAAACAGGTATGGAAAAGAATGTGCAGGCAGTTACCACGATTCTGTGGAATAATACCTCGCGGTAGTTTGTTATTGTCTAAAAAATTTACAAAACCTTGTGGATCACCTTTGCCATCTTTAAACCTCATCTTGTTTATTGCTAACACAATTTTTACTGCCATACAATCACTTCCATACAATTTGCAATGTCTAGAGATTTCAAAACTTCGCGAGATGAAATGACAATTGTGTCTAGAGGTTGTAAATGACAGTTTAGTTCATTCAAATTCTTTCCCCAGGTATTACAAATTTTGGAAATGGTAAGATGATTAACCGACACCCTGTCAGACATTGTGTTGGATATATTTGATATGATTGAACTCGACATTCATTAAAGGGAAGCGAGTGAAAATCTGAATAAATAAAAGCTAAATGATCAACTGCACCACATATATGGCTTTCATAATCAACAGCTGTTCCACCTGGTAACTGGTCCAGAGCAATGACCTGACAGTTGTTTTTAGATGTCAGATGAACAGTGTTGATATGAACACCTTTATGTGTTGTTGCATCGAATCCAAGTGTAAGATAAGAATTACTCATTCTGCTGCCTGTCACAAACAAGTTCTGAAATGAAAAAGTTTAGTTGGCAGTATAGCAGTTCTGCTATACTGCCAAGCTCACCAGCCATTTGTTCGATAGTACAACGATGAGGAATGTCCATAAAGTTAACACCCAAATACTGCCTAATTTTTGAAATTAGGAATTGAATATTACTGGTTGGAACATGGGGCTAATAACATGCTATAAATTATCATCCTCATTTTTAAAGGGTAACTCTTATTGTCTTCTGACATATTAACATTTGGAATTTTCCCCTCTTTTATCTGGAAAATATCATTTTCTAATTGAGCAATTAACATTTTATTTGCCTTACCATCATTATTATGTTTTACTGTTATTTGCATTAAGTTTTGATTTTCTTTTACTGTCAACGCCTTTTTTTGCTTTAAGATTGCGAAATAACCGACTGTAATGATAAGTTTTAATTTGTTTTTTTAGTTCTCTAACTTCTGTCCTTAAAGCTTTAATAATTTCTTCTTTCCTTTTTATACTTTTCTTGAATATTTTTAACTTATATGGCATGCTATTGTATTTCAATTTAACTTTTGCTACTTTTTTCTTGTAGTCTTTGGTTGAGATAGCTAACTTAGAAGAAAATTAGGATAACCTAGTGATGAGTTTAGCTTTTTTGGGGGTCAGTTCTTCTCTAGATGCATGCTTTTTTTTATTTTCTATGGAAATTTCAGACGAAAACAGTGTGTCATTAACTAGGGGTAAAACAGCCATATGTTCATGGGATGACAGAACAGAAGACCCTGAAACAGTAATCAATGAACTAGTCTGATTAAGATCTATTGCCTTTTTCAATGACATGTTTTTATGACATGTTTCAATGACATGTTTGGTGAATGGTATTCAAAGGGATGATTACAAAATTCAGTAAATTTTGAAAAATCCCTATCATAATTTTTAGCCAATTTTTTGGAAATGTTAATAACATTATAAAGTTTATGTTTACCAGTGTTAAAGCTAAATAACTGATTGACTTGTTTAAGAGTATTAACAATGGACTCGCCGTTATTAATGAATAAAAGAATTAAATGTCCATTTTGACAGCGTGTAGGTGTTTCGCCATGCAAAGTAAAGTTTACAGCTAAATCCTTTTTCACTGCATCCGGAAACATAACTCCACTTTTTATTGGATCTTTAAATCCTTTAAAAATATAAATATAAAGAGTTAATATACAATAGTTTTAATTAAAATTTTTAAAAAATAAACAAATATAGATTAATTTGTTAACAATTAATAACAATAATACAACATGTAAAAAAAGTACTAAATAATATAGACTTAAAAAATCTCATACATACCTTCTACAAACAAGTAATGGTTACGTAAATATAATATTTAGAAACTGTAAACATAAGTTAAACTGGTTTAAAATCAAATAGTTAAACTAGTTTAAAATCAAATAATATTATTTAACTCAAACAAACAGTAAATAAACTAAAAAAAAAAAGATTAGTAATTAAGTATGCAAAAGATATTTCACATTAATTAACTCACATTAAATAAAGTACTAGCTTTTAAAATAACTAACTGTAGCAACTAATAAAGTAAAGATCAAAAATAATATAAATTAAACCAAGATATACATGCTAATATTTGATATTCAAGTTATACTATACAAACTTACAAGTAGTAGGCTGGGTAGATCGAACTAAAAATAACAAAAAAAAGTGTATAATTACAACAAAACGCTATGCAATTATGAAAGTAACTATCATAGTTCTGTGGAAGATGCAACAACTTTATTAACATAATGAAAACTAACAGTGAAAATATAAAGAAAATACTTTAATAAACAACAAGCTAACATTAGGAATGGTTATTCACTTTGTTTATATATTAATTACGTTATATTGGTTGTGGTTATATATAAAATATGTGATTTATACTTACGATATCTCAAAAAGGCTTCATAATGTGCAGCAGGATCTAAACAACATGCAAACATTAGGCATGCTTGTATTGTGATTTAAATAATAATCCACAGATAAAAAAGTATACAATCCAAAAATAATAAAAGATGATAATAAGTTGATAAGTTTTATCATATTTAAAAATACTAACAAGTCTTTTGCAAGAAATAAACCAATGAAGTATCTGATTTGTATACTTATTTATATGTTTTGTCTTTATAAAATTGTCAACAGATACTATTAGTTAACAATCCATTTAAAAGCCAAAGTTTTAGACTGAAGCATTAATCTTCTTTTTTATGTAACATATAAAAACAGATTAGGAATTAATCTGTAATTATATATTACATTAAAAATCAAAAAATATTCATAAATGATTTATGAATATTTTTTGATTTAAAATAGTTATTATTGATATTTTTATAAAAAAATTAAACATACTACCCTGTTAGGGATGCAAGAAGAGTTCTGTCTTCAGAGCTCATGCTTTATTTTAATCTAATAATAAAAATCAAAATAATACAAAATAAGGATTAATTTTTTTTTGTAAAGTCGGCCCCCCTATCCGCCCCCGTATTTCGCTTAACAAAAAAAACATCAGAAATACCAAAATTAGGTACAAAAAGTTCTACACTAATTAAACTATCTGCGGAGCTTTATTTTTAGTTGAAATTTTGCATGTGCATAGAAAATGCATGTAGAAAATTATCTAAATAATAAAAAAAGGGGATGTAATATTTTATTACAGGGATCAATACTTCCACTACTAAATATTCATGTGAGAACATCAACCATATTTTCACGAGCAAAATAATCCATAAAAATGTTAAGTAACCATACATAAATGGGCGGACTTTAAAACGGCGCACCCCAAACTCGGTAAACAACGAAAGCTTTCGTTACGAAAACTCTCGGTAAATATACTGAGTATTTTACAGAATGGCAAAACCGCGCCGTTACGACAAGTGCCAAAATGGATTCCTCGAAAGAAAAAAAACAAACTTTTTAAAACCATTTTTAAAACTTTAATTTAAATATTTACAAACCATATATAAACATTTAAAATTATAAAACTAAAACATTTAAACCTATACTACTGATATTAGAATTAAAATAAGTAGAAGTTCTTTTTAAGGCTTTATTATTTTAAGTAAGGTTTTACTATTTTACAAAAGCTTACTTGAGAAATGTTTTGTAATAAGTTAAAAATTTACAAAAAACATTTGAAAAAAATTTATGTATAGGTGTTAACAGTTTTAAAACTCAAATAAATAATTACAATATATTATTGCTTTTCAAAATAAATGTTCTGATATTCTTCAGTTTACTTTTCTTTCATTAACTTTTTTTAATTCAAAATCTTCCCTATCTTTCAATCTTCAAATGTCTTTTTTTCTTAATCTCATTGTTTTAAGCTTTTCCTCTATGTATATTCTTCTCATCATAAGTATGTGTATCTTCTTGTCATCAGCGTAACACAGTATGTGATCATTTGAGAAAATTCGAGTATTCGCTCTAAAAATTCATAAAATAAATTCATAAATTAAAATAGAATTAAAATATTAATGTGTAATTTAAAGACGATATTTATCGTGAATATGACCCTGGAACATATTGAAATTTTGCCATAAATCTTTATTTATAAACTCATAATATTCCCTATATACTGCCTCATCCAACCTAGACCATTTCATATCACCTTGATAACCAAAAACAAACTTTAATTTAAACTTCATCCTATACCAAAAGGACTCAATGTGGTTTATTGTTGTCCCTGTTTCAGAGTCAGCAAAGTTTCTGGTATGGTTAATAGTTGAATGAATATAGCCTAAGTTGCTTAAATTATTGTAGTACAATAATTAAAGCAACTTAGGCTATGTTCATTTAACTATTAACCATACCACAAACTCTGTTGACCCTGAAACAGGGACTCGTACAATTTGTACGAAGCCCATTTATCTGATTGTATAGTTGAACCAGGAGCAATCCAAGTTTGAATCAAAGGTACTAATGTATTTGCAGTGCAATTCTCTACCCTAATCAAATACCCTTTTTTATTTGTTTCATCATAAGCCCTGAAAATCCAATACTTTTTAATGTTGTGACCCACATTGTACTTGCATCTGAAAAATAAAAATTCATTAATTTGAACTATGTGTCCTGGACCTCCCAGCTGGTTTACAGGTGCAACATCTAAAACTTTGAATGAGCAGATGTCTCTGATACCATTGAACTGGTTGGTTGGCTTATCCCTACTAATTCAGCAGCAGCAGCAGTAACAGGGACCTCTGAAACCCATAACAACATAAGTTTAAGTATATCACTTACACTTAAAGATGTTGAACATTCAAAAAAACCACTTCGTGTTTTTGTCTTCTTACAGCTGCTGCATCGCCAAATGTGTTTATCCTTAAAGAAAAAAAGCATCAGAAAAAGTTTAAACAAAATCCAATTAAACAGGATTAGATTTTAGGAAAGTAATTTAATCCTTTATAAGGATTAATAACTCATAATATTATAATAATTCATTTGATAACATAATAACATAATAACTCATGATTCATAATCATAATCAATAATCATAATAACATAATGACTCATTTGAACTCATAATAACATAATAACTCATTTGATATTTAATATAAGCCAAGTCTAATCAGATTAGTATTTAAAATGTAAACAAGCTAAAGTTTTATTTAAGTTATTACTTTCTTTTATAAAGCCCTTATGATATAATACCGTGAAACATATGATTAAATATGATATTTACTTACTAGACACCGCTCAAATCTTTGAATAGTCATTTGCTGACCACAGATACAAGATTTGCGAACATGGATTAGTCTGCTTTGATGGAGAAAATTTATTAGCCTTTTTTCTAATGCTTTCAATAAATTCTGCCAAAGAGGTAGTCTTGCTTGAAGTTGTCGTGTACTGAAGTGAGCTTGAAAAGTTGAAAACGTGCTTAAGTCTAATTTAATTTATTAGCCAATGAAAATCGACTTTTAATTTTCGTAACGAAAATTTTCGTTGTTTACCGAGTTTGGGGTGCGCCGTTTTAAAGTCCGCCCATTAATGTCATATATAAATCAAGATTAACTTTTTTTCTTTCAAAAAAGTATCTATGTGCATATATGTTTCTAAAAAGAAACTCCATAAAATTACGTCTGCCTCATGCTGCCTAAAAAAGAGTTTAAAAATCGAGAACCAATATTTTAGCATAAAAATCGGTTCCGTAAATCACGATTTCCGCGTACCTAATATATGTATATATATATATATATATATATATATATATATATATATATATATATATATATATATATATATATATATATATATATATATATATATATATATATATATATATATATATATATATATATATATATATATATATATATATATATATATATATATATATATGTATATGTATATGTATATGTATATGTATATGTATATGTATATGTATATGTATATGTATAAGTATATGTATATGTATATGTATATGTATATGTATATTATATATATATATATATATATATATATATATATATATATATATATATATATATGTATATATATATACTACAAGATGGCTACACCTAAATTACTCTAAGAAACTTGGTTTTAAATAAGTTTTTCTTGCATGTTGTGAATATTGTGTTATTTAATTAAAGCACAGTAAAAGGGAAACTGAAATAATAATCTTAAGAGAGTCAACTCCAATTAATAATTTTTTAATTATTATTATTATTTGCTCAATAAAATAATTATTTAAAATAGTATAAATAGCAAATTAAATATTTTTTATAAAGAGTAAGTAATATATAAACAATTATGAAAGGAATGCATTTTTTTGTGCTTAAATTTGCTACATTACCATGTTGGCTAATGTGTATGTGGCAAAGTCGAAATTTATAGAATATTAACAAAATTGTTTGATATCAAACGTTATTGACTCATTCATTCATTCATAGTTTATTATTTATATAAATAATATGGAGATATGAAACAACATGAACATGTGATCATACATATATACTACAAGATGGCTGCACCTATATTACTCTTAGAAACCTGTGTTTTAAATAACTTTTTCTATGTGAATATTTTGTTATTTTACATAAGCACAGTCAAAGGGAAACTGTAGTAATAATCTTAAGAGAGTCAATTCCAAATAATATTTTTTAAATGTTTATTATTATTTGTTTAATAAAACAGTTATTTAAAATAGTATAAATAGCAAATTAAAATTTTTTTATAAACAGGGTTGATTGGTTTGGTTGGTTGATTGGTTTAAATCATTTTATTTAAATCAATTTAAATCAGACAAATAAAAATCATTATTATTTTTAATGATTATTTATTGATTTATCAACTTAAGTAAATCACACTAGCTAAATATAACTATATATAAATCTTTTAGTTTTTTAACTTATTGTAAGATTTTTTTTCCATATAAGCAAATTTTTTCTTCATGTTTTAACTTATTGACTAATTGCATTAGTTTCTGCTTTTGTTACTATTTATATAATAAATATAAATATATTCCTTTTATGTAAGAGTATTTTCAAATTTTTGTAAACTACAGTATTCATTTATAATTATTGTTTTTTTTTAGTTGTAAATAAAAATAATATAATTAGAAATAAAATTGTCTGGTGCTGGTAGAAAAAAAAGATGCAGTTTTAAAAACGGTTTGAAGAAATACCTGCAAAGTTTGGTAAAAAGGGTAATAAATATAAATGTAAAAGCTGTGGTGTGCAAACGCAAGGTTTGGTTGCTCGAATGAGAAACTACAAAATGTAATTTAGGTAATTATAATTTTCTGAAAGATGTTTAAGATGATAAAAACATTATTATTTGTCAAGACAGATATCAACCAGGCAACTGAAGAACCGCAAGCTAGTCAATGTCCTGTTAAGAAAACTGAATCTAGTCAATCTGCTGTATGCCCATGCTGTTGTGAGTTTCTATTTATTATTTCCAAAATATTTTTCACTCTTATATATATACTTCATTTATGAAGTCTACAAAAAGTTAAACTTTTATAATATTCTTAATTATATTATTTTGCATATTTAAATATTAAAGAAATGAAATGACACTGAGATTTAGTAAAGATCTATATAAAGAACTGCATCAAAGGATAAGCTTTATATGCAAATGGATGCAATAGGATAAGCTTTATATGCAAATGGATGAAATTTATAGAATATTTAAAAATTTAATTGATATTATGAGTCAATTATTGTTTCAATCTTAACAAAACAAGGTAAAATTGTATATTATTTAAAATAGTGAAATAATTTATATAAATGATATAGAAATTTGAAACATGAACACGTGACCATATATATATATATATATATATATATATATATATATATATATATATATATATATATATATATATATATATATATATATATATATATATATATATATATATATATATGTATATATATATATATATATATATATATATATATATATATATATATATATTTATATTTTATAAATCTTTATTAAAAATTGATTAGCATTACAAATAATTAATTGTACAATATTATCTATTGTATTATATATATATATATATATATATATATATATATATATATATATATATATATATATATATATATATATAAATATATATATATATATATATATATATATATATTATAATATACAATAATATATATTATAATATATAATATATTAAAATATATAATATATATATATATGTATATATATATATATATGTATATATATATATATGTATATATATATATATATATATATATATATATATATGTATATATATATATATACATATATATATATATATATATATATATATTATATATATATATATATATATATATATATATATATATATATATATATGTATATATATATATATATATATATATATATATATATATATATATATATATATATATATATATATATATTCATTCCATTATTGAATTTTAGACAATTCTTCAAAAGAATGCGACTTTAGAAATCTCACGTTTATTGGTACATCAAATTCAAGTAAAAACATTTATTTATTGGGCAATGGATTTAACACTAGAAAACTTTTTTTATAATTGATGACATTTTTATAAACATAGACATATGGGATTGTAAAATAAAATTTTTGTTAATTGTTTGAAAATATTATATTTATATTAATTGTTTAAAAATAGTTTTTCTTTTCTTTATTGCCTTATATCGCAATATAAATTAAATTTTTAGGAAAGTCGTTGTTTACACTTTAATTTTGGCGTAAAGCAACTTGCTTAAATATCTAGAATAATTAAATATTAAAAATCTATTTTATAATTATATATTATATAAATATTTGATAATAAAAAATGTTCGAGAATTTAAAAAAGTATCCGTGCAACGTTGACAATAATGTAAAAACAATGAACGGTTCGATGTAGAACTATAACGGGTTCTTTAAAATACCGTATTTTAAGGTTCTTTCAAAGAACCCTTTCAAATGGTTCTTTTAAGAACCTCTACGGGTGCTCCACCAGTGTCAACGCAAAGAACCTTTAATGGTTCTTTAAAGAACCCTACTTTAACCCTTTTGCGCCCACTAAAATCTAATTTTCTCAAAAAATTCCAAAACTTTCAAAAAACAATTGCTTTAGGATCTAAATTATGAATAAAATAATAAAAACCAAAAATCTCACTAATTAAATAATTATAGCATATCTGCTACAATGGGAATACGAGGAATCAAATTATAAATATAGTTTTCTTTAAAAAAAAAAAAATCTTTTTAAATTTAAAACAATTTAAAGAACAAATTTAAGAAATTTAACAGAAAAAAGAATTTTTACATATGTTTTGAACTAACTAACTCTCTTCTATACAAACAAAAAACATTTACAGCATAAATATACATCTTAAAAGACAGTAAATAATCATTTATAATTATATATAAGTTATATAAACAAATCTTAAATGCCATTAATGGTAGTCATGATAACAATTTCTGTCTTTAGTTAAGCATAGCCAAGCATTGCACGTTTTGCAACAAATATAGAAAAAACCAGTTTTGCATTTCTTACACCATTGACCTTTGTCACTATAAGTTGGTAAAGAAGAGTTTCCACTCATCCGTTTTTTCACGGGAACGGGAAAAATAATCACATGAGCATGCGTAGTTTTTCTTCGGACATATTAAAACTTATACTACGCATGCCCACGTGTTTATTTTTCCCGTCTCTTTCCCGTTCCCGTGAAAAAACGGATGAGTGGAAACTCGCCTTAAGTGATCAAATCCATCTAACCGGATATCCTTTTTAGGATTACTTTGAACATCTGCAGCTCTTTTAGTTGATATAGGTATTGCATCAAGTGATGGTCTTCCGGCTTTTCTTTCTACAGCATCTACCAAGCTAGAAGCTAATGCAGCTGGAAACTTTTTTAGAGGGACAAAGAATTTTTAAGTCCCGACAATACAAAAACCATGCTTTAGATAACGCAATAAGAAGGGTATGTGCCCATATATATACATACCATCTATGGCATTTCGAATTTGGTTTGTAGAATGAGCACATCATATTCAGTTTGTCAACTCCACCCATATTTTTATTATAAAATTGGACTATGTAAGGTTTACGATAATATATTTGCAGGTTTTTCTGTCATAACGCCTCACTGTGTTGATTGATTCAATACTCGCATAAGATGAAATTAAAGTTACTGCCTCGTTATCTATCCAACAAACAACTATATTATTAGTATTGGTGTCAGTTCTTTTTCTGAAGGCAATGAGCATTTGTTAAGGCGTTTAAGGCGTGCTGTTCCAATATACCATATTCAACGCTTTTTCAGCTCATCTAACAAAAGCAATAAGGAAAAATAATTATCAGCAAATATTTTAAAATTATAATTTTCTGGCAAAGTTGAGGTCATTTTTATTACAACAGATGCCCCAATACCATGAGGAGAAAGTTCATCTTTCTATTTTATTTCTTTTCCTTGATATAAATCAAAGTCATACAAATAACCGCTGACACCACATCTACCCCAAAATTTGAACCCCCACTTATTTGGTTTATTTGTGACATATTGCTTCAAAAATGACCTTGCTTTGAAGGCAACCATTATCTCATCAACTGATTGATTTTCTTCCGGAGAAACTTTTAAAAAATTTTCTCTTCGTTTTTCTAACCATGGACTTAATTTCCAGACCCAATCATTTTTCTTATCTTTATCTGTCACCTTTAAGTTATCGACAAAGTGTAAATAGCAAAGAATAGAAAGAAATCTATTTCTTGATAATACTGAGCTTACTCCATCATAATTCATAAAGGTTTCCCAATAAGATCTTACTGATGGTAGTTTCACGAGACCCATACGAAAATAAACACCAATAAATGACTCTATTTCATTGGGTGTGTCACAAACGCTGGTACCTGATGACTGGTAACTATATAAACTTGATAGCAATACGTCTATAAGATTGTCATCAACAAACAGTTTAAAATACTCGTAGGGAGTGGCAGCTTCATCTGAAATAGGTTCAATAGGTACTTCCTGAAAAGTAATATCACTAATCAAATCATTATCAAGTGGAACTTTTTTCCAAAGTAGCAAAACTCTTAAACTCTTTTTATTTTTATTACTTTGATTGATTTTTTTTGATTATTTTTTTGTTCGAGGTGAAGAGTTAAAACAAAATATATCATCGTCTGTACTGCTTTTCTGGGTAAGAGACTCCGTAATGGGTAAAAGTATATTTGAAATACAATTTTGATGTCATTTTTTGCCTCAAATATCCATTTATATGAATCTCGTTCAATCGGATCAACAAAAGTATGTTGTAAATATGCTACAATGGCTATTTTTAAGATCACTTATTTGACAGGACAACCGTAAAAGGTTTCTAAAGTTATGTAGCAGATCTGCTACACGGGGCGCTAAAGGGTTAAAGTTCTTCCGAAGAACCCTCATAAAGGGTTCTTTGAAGAACCTCTAGGGGTGCTCCACGAGCGTTAATGCGAAGAATCCGTAAGGGTTCTTTGAAGAACCATTCGGCTTAAGAGTGTATATCAACACAGTGCAACATCATGCTAATTCTCAATAACCACACTTTACAATCGTATTCCAAACCCGGAAACTATTTAAACTATGTTCACGTGGATCCAAACCAACCACCCAGTATTTTAAAACAACTTCTATCGAGTTATTATTATGTGCAAATTCGTCAAGCGAAAACATTTTTCAAAATTCTACTGACATGTATAACGAAGCATTGTTAAAATCAGGTTTTGTTCATAAGTTTTCTTATCATCCTAACTTAAATTTAACTCATGCTAAGCACCATAAACACAACGTCATTTGGTTTAACCCCCCTTTCAGCAAAAATGTTAGCACAAATACAGGAAATTTTTTTTAACCCTTATCGATAAACACTTCCTGTTAATCACAAGCTCCATAAGAATTTCAATAGAAACACAATAAAAGTAAGTTACAGCTGCATGCCAAATATTAAATCTATCTTAAATGCATACAATCGTCATATTTTAAACAACTACAAAATTACCACTTAAAGCAATTGCAACTGCCTTGATAAAAAGACCTGCCCTTTAGCAATCAAATGCCTTACAAATAACATCGTATACCAAGCTAATTTAACCTCCAATGATCCTGCCCAAACAATTATAAACAAATTTTACATTGGAATAAGTCAAATACTTTTCAAAATTAGATACGCTAATCACATAAAATCATTTAATATTATCAGGTATAAAAATGACAATGAGTTATCAAAGGAGTTTTGTAAATTAAAGGGAGCTAATTTGAATCCTATAGTTAAATAGAAAATAATTAAACAGACCAATGCTTATAACCCTACGAAAAAATGCTTATAACCCTACGAAAAAATCTTGTGATTTATGCTTAAATGAGAAATATGAAATTCTATTCTCTAGAAATCCAAACTTATTAAATAAAAGGAGTGAAATAATATTTAAGTGCAGGCATAGAAACAAATTTCTTCTGGCTAATTTCGATACCGGTGATTAATCCAGTTTCTACGTTACTTTTTGTTTTGTTTTGGCGTCAGAACCTATTCAATTGTTGTTTTTGTACTTTGTATTTTTAACGGTTTTTCTTGATTAATATATATATATATATATATATATATATATATATATATATATATATATATATATATATATATATATATATATATATATATATATATATATATATATATATATATATATATATATATATATATACACGTCAGTATACTTGTATACAACTTTTTTAAAGAACAAGACTTAATGTTTTAAGGCAAAAAGTTTAAGAGTCAATTTCGTTTATTTGTTTCTGATTATGGTAAGAGATAGATTAGAAATAAACAAACCGATGCAAAGTTTATTTGAAAGAATTCAGCTTGGCTTGAAAATAGTTTTAAAACCACTTTAATGAAGGAGAGTAAACAACTCGTCAGACCAACATAACCATTTGAGATTCTTCTTCAAAAACAAAGAAAAGAAAAGTTGCTACTTTATAATTCTTCAACTTTATAATTTTATAACTGCTGTGAAGCAACAATTTCTTAAAAATGCTATTGGAATCTTGGCTGAACTGCTGTGAAACAACAATTTCTTAAATATGCTATTGGAATCTTGGCTGAACTGCTGTGAAACAACAATTTCTTAAATATGCTATTGGAATCTTGGCTGAACTGCTGTGAAACAACAATTTCTTAAATATGCTATTGGAATCTTGGCAACAACTGTTGTGTCTGAATAAGTAAACTTAATTGTACTTTACATAGTTGATATTTACTATGATAGATGGAAACGTAGCAACTATATTATTTGCAGCTACTAATTAAAGTTAGTGCTGCTTATTTGTGGTTTAATACCAAGTCAAATAAACCAACTAAATATCGTTTTCGATTTGTCATTAACTCCGCCCGGATTAAAGTAGGGCTTGTCAACAGTTCATGCTTGAATTCGTAGCACAGAGTGTTTTTAAAACACAACTACAAAGCTGAAGTGAAGAAATGGGCATCAAAGTCACAGGCAGACAAAGAAAAACTTAAAGCTAAAAGAATTTCATACAATCTGGGTTTAGAAATGAAATTGGGTCGGTGCACGGTGGGCCAGAACGGCCAATCTTGAGACGAAATTAATAACCAATTTAATATTTATGCTACATTCACTATATTTGGCATGATTACCAATATACAGTTTGAGCTTCTTATGAAAGTGTTATTTTTTATTTGGTTGGTATAGATACCTATTTCGGCGTAGCATTAACCTATTTATAGTTGTTTTTGTGTGTCATATGCACTAAATTTAGTAAGAGTACCAATACGAGGAATGCATTTGATATTGATATTAAGTTTGGTTGCTATGGATACCTTATTATGCATAGCAACAAGCTTTTTATAGTGACAGTCAATTTTATACCGATTCTTGACTTATTTACTGCAAATTATTAAAAAAATGGGATTTTTAATGCTCTGGTGTTCAAAATAAATGTATGTTGAAACCTTTTAATTTACCTTAATTATAGAATACTGAAAATTGTAATTTAAAATGCATAAATATGAATTTTAATAATAATTAAAGCAAGAAACCAAAATTTGGCCTGTAAAAATCCGTAAAAAGAACAACTAAACAAAGTTTTTTAACAGTTGCAGAAAACCCTCTGGCAAAACCTTCTTCTTACTACTAACTATTTTTCTTAGCGAAGAAATGAATGGATCACTAGAACAAAATAATCGCTTAAATAAAACTTCATTACATTTGATACGGTCACACTTGCGTGTTAAATGCTTACGATACTTTTTAAAATCTTTAATTTTGGCTTCTTTAAATTCTTCACTTAAGAGTCCTATTGCTAATGTCATGTAATCAACAACACTAAGAGCATAAATTAGCATTTTGTTAATGCTCTACAGCATATAGTACCATGCATAGCATTCCACTTAAAACCTAGCTGTATATGTACATTATTCCCTGAACAAATCTGCATCAAGCTCAAAACCACATGAAAAACATGTCAGAACAACATGGAACATTTTTAGAAGTTCAAAATTGAGCCCTGTGATTTCAGAAAACAATTGTTTATTCTAAAAGGCTCTTCTGGAGGCGTTGCCATCACTAGATGTTCCTGAGCCGCCAGCCTTAGGCCTATTGACAATTAGTTCCATTTTTTCTTGAAAAGCAACTTGAATTTTTTTCTTTTGCATTTCAATTTGTTGCTTGTTAGCTGGTAATCTTGATGACCATTTTTTGATTGGTAACGTGTAAACAATGTGGATTAAGCATTTAAATGTTCTTATCTATGCATGTAGACTTGAAATCCCATATTGTAACTTATTTTGAGTGGGCAACTTCAGTAACACCTGTAATAAATAAAAAACTGCATTTTAAACTAATCAAATATAAAAAGTTGTATATATATATATATATATAATATATATATATATATATATATATATATACATATATATATATATATATATATATATATATATATATATATATATTATATATAATATATATATATTATATATATATATATATATATATATATATATATATATATATATATAAACAAATTTTAAAAATATAGAGATACAAAATAGAGTGCTCAATGTTCTTAAAAAAACAGAGCAATAATAAATTAAATTTGCAGAAAATTGCTTTACAAAACTTTTTTTAATTAACACTTGATTGATCATAAAGAGTCAAATACGTTCAAGAAGACAAACAGAAATGCCAATTGATAGCCAATATATTTATTAAAACTACAATTCAAATTCGTAGTAATATAAATAACTAACATTAAATGGCAAAATATATAAAAATAAATTTTTTTTTAAACCTTTTTAGAAAAGCACTTGACCGCCTAAAATATTGTTCAGGCTGACAACTTAAAAGTAAAAATTTTTAGTAAAGGCGTATTTTGTGATTAACAATCCTTATGTCTTTATAAAAATCAATATGTTACGTTCATTGAATAGTAGTTTTTTATACAAAAATTGAACTTTGGGCACACCATGGCCCACTGTGCGGTGATTGATATCCCTAGGTCTGGCGGTTCTGGATCAACGTTTTTTTCAGAAATGCCGAACAAACAGCAGCAATTATTGATGTTAATGTGCATTTAATTAAAAGGATATATGTTTTGCTGTTTACTGTGTTATCTGGTTTCGTGATTGATGTTGATAAATTAAAAGACTAATGCTTAGAAACAGCACAGCTATTTATACGACTTTATCCTTGGTACTACGTGTACCACAGGTAGTACCAGGGATAAGATCCAGACTTGCACAGAATCTTGATACATGGGTGTATATTATTATTCATCATAATTTTAGTCAATATAGTCTTAACCCTTTAACAGTCTCGTGTTTTTTTTAAAAACGGTCGCGATTAGTCCAGCTTTTTTTTAGAAGTGAAATGTCCCGTATTTTTAAACTCATTCTGTTTTTTTACTAATAAAATAAAAAATGTTTTTTACTATTTTTAACATTATTAAACGCTACAAAATGTTATTATTCATGTTTAAGAATATAAAAATCATACTACATAAACATAAGATTTTAAAATGTATTCACTAATATTCATTTTTGTATAATAATTGTAAAAAGCAAGGAGCTGCAAAAAGTTCTACATCACATTCTACACACTCATATCATGAACCTTTTTGAATAGTGTGTTTGCAACATACCGCACACCACCTTTGAACATTATTCTTTTATTATCATTTTCAATAATCATTCATTAAATATATCTTTTCATTATTGATTCATCGAATGTATAAAATTCTATCTTTTCGTGAGTAAATGTTTACTCTTTGATAATTATTTTTGCACTCAAAAAACTTCTTATTTGTCATATATAAAATTAAATTGAACATGTTTAAAAGACAATTATTGAAACAAAATCTCTGTAATTATCTAGTAATAACTTTTGTGACAAGTAGACGTATAATTACTGATGAACAAGAAGGAATTACAAGGAGATGCACAAAACCGTAATATTACAGCATTGACATTTAAAAGCCACTTTTAGTTTGCATTATATTACGGCATGGACTGTTAACGGGTTAATATCAAATTAGTTATGAATTTTGTCCAGTAAAAGTGAATTCTGTTCCACTGTGTATTGATTTGTTTTGAAAGAAATTTTAGAACTTGGGGTCTAAGACTATTTTAAAACAGAGCCTTATAGATACAAATTATTATAAGAGGAAATAAGAAAAATAGATCTCCTGAATAAAATGGGGCCCTTAAAAATGTGATACATAAGAATATAGACCCCTATCCCCCAAAATCAATATTAAAAGCAAGTTTTTAAGAAAAGCTAGCTGGGACAAAATCATTCCTGGTGTTGAGAGAGGTTTAAAACTCACCTTTACAAGACTTTACACACGTATCAGGGTACAAACAGGGAACAATCAAAGGAATGCTTGAGGCTTTTTTTTTTTTGTTTTTTTTTGTTTTGTTTATATCGTGTTACAATTATATAAATCGTAATACACTTATATAAATCGTAATACACTTATATAAATCGTAATACAATTATATAAATAACTTTATAAATAAAAGCTTTGCAAATATAAACAAGGTTTCTGATAGAAGATCTCATTGATCTTGTCGTCAGAACCTTTTAAAAGCGTAAAAAGCAACAACAACAGTAAAAATAAATAAGAAATTAAATATTATACAGTGCGTTTTGCATATTAGAAGTAAGCCATTATATGGTTTATAGAAAAAATAAATTTTTTTAGTTTATTTTTAAAAAGTTCGAATGAAGCTGATAAATCAAAATTATTCAAAACAATTTTGTTGCAGAGATAAGGTGCACGATATCCAATACAAAATTGATTAAACTTTGTACGACAAAATGGTTCATTTAAAAAATTATTATTTCGCAAAGTATATTTTTTTGATAAAAAAATCTTTAAAAATGGATAGTGCTGAGTCATCTTTACATTGAAACTTTACATTAAAACAAAAACACAAAATTTTATAAATGTTGAGTTGATATACATTAAGGACATTCGCATCTTTAAATAAAAAGTTTGAATGCGTTAAACGATTTTTAAAATATATTAAACGCATAGCGTGTTTCTGACGACGATAAAGAAGTCGCAATTTACTTTTGTTTGTGCTTCCCCAAGCAATATTGCCATAGTTAATATAGCTATGTATAAAGGAGTAGTAGAGTTGCATTAAACTCTTTTTATCTAGAAAATATCTGATCTTAAATAGGATGCCAATACTTTTAGCAACTTTATTGCTAATGTAGTCAATATGAGTTTTCCATGAAACATTTTCACCAAGAATTATTCCTAAAAACATTGTGGCGGTTTCTCTCTTTATTTCAATTTCATCAATAAATAGTTTTGGCATAAGGTTTGGCAAAGATCGTTTTTTCGATAATGGGTGAAACAGAATATACTTTGTTTCGTCTATGTTTAAAGTTAATTTATTACATTTAAACCAGTCAGAGATAAACTTAAGTTCTTTATTCATTTCGTAGAACAGTTTTGTAATGCTACGGTTTGATATAAATAAATTTGTATCATCAGCAAACATGATGTTTTTTTAAGTTTGATACTTTATTTATATCATTTACATAAATTAAAAAAAAAAGAGGCCCGAGAATCGAGCCTTGAGGAACACCGCAAGTTATTTGAGTCATTTCGCTTTGGCGTCTGTTATTGACAAATTGTTTTCTATTTGTTAAATAATTTTTATACCAATTTAAAAGATTGTTATTTATTCCATAATATTTGAGTTTTTGCAGTAAAATCTCGTGATAAACGGTATCAAATGCTTTTGATAGATCAATAAGTACCCCTAATGTGTATTGCTTTCTATCAAAAGACTCAGAGATTTGCCGGACAAATTGTATAATTGCGTGTTCCGTTGAAATACATTTTTTAAAACCAAATTGATTATTATTTAACAGTTTATTATCATTAAGATATTTATATGTTCTATTATAAATAATTTTTTCTACAATTTTTAAAAAAGCTGGGAGGATAGAAATGGGGCGGTAGTTGCACACATCTGTTTTGTCACCATTTTTGTAGATTGGAATAACCTTTGCAATTTTTAATTTATCCGGAAAAATCCCTTGTTTTAAAGATGCTTTAAAGATTTTGAAAAGTTTATCTCTTAGGTTTTCGTAGCAATCTATAATTATGTTACTATTTATTTCGTCGAAGCCAGTAGCTTTATTTTTTTTAAGAGAATTAAATGCTATATCAAACTCCTCGTTCAATTGATAATTCATTGTTAGTATTTAGATTGTGTCTGGAGGATAAAAAGCCTATAAATGAGTTATCGGTAGTTGGAATTCTGTTTGAAAGTTTTTTTCCAATTTCTGTAAAGAAATTATTAAATTTTTTTGCAATTTCACAAGGTTCGGAGATAATTTTGTTTTCAAAGTTAATAGTGTTTGGCAGGGAGTTTGAAGATATATTTGATTTTCCAATTAATTCTTTTATTATATTCCAAGTGCGCTTTGAGTCGTTTTGAAATTTTTTAATAAGATTAGAATAATAGATTTTTTTCAAATTTTTTCGAGTCTTCTCAAAGATATTTTTATAATTCTTATATATTTTCTCATTTGCAGAAGATTTTGTTTTTAGATATTTAATATATAATTTTTGTTTTGTTCTGGAGGATTTCTTTAGTCCTTTTGTAATCCAGGGACTATTTAATGATTTAGTGTTTATTCTTTTTTCGCAAACTGGAAAGTTTGCGTCATACACTGAGCAGAATGTTATCGTTAAAGTCAATATGCTCCCAATGTAGTAGAGATAATTGAGACTTAAACGATTCGAGATTTTTTTTGGTAAAATAACGCTTTCTAGTAATTTTATTTGTTGTTAAAGTATGCGTTGATCCGGCATTAAATGTTAAGAAAATGGGAAAATGGTCTGATAAATCAGTTTTTACAATACCCATTTGAATGCTGTAATTGAAAATGTCTTTGTAACAATATTATCAATAAGAGTTGATGTGTTTCGTGTTACCCTAGTTGGACGATTTATCAGCGGAATCGCTCCGGTTGTAAATATTTCATCATAAATTTTTTTTACTTTATAGTCATAATTGTATAGTAAACAATTCATATTTAAATCTCCTATTATATAATTTTTTTTCTTTTTTTTTTTGACGCACCATCAGGTGGCCTGTAACAACAGCTTAACAGAATATTGTTTCTTTTTTTCGCTTTGTTGAAAATTTCAATGGTTACGATTTCTTTATCGCCGTCAGAAACGCTCAAATCATTCCTAATACAATGTGCAATGGTATCTTTTATATAAATCAAATTTTTAAAGCCACAGGCTAAAATTTTTTATGTGGTTGTTACAATGTTTAGGTGATTTGATAAAAGTTATCTAATGTCGAACATTTTGTCACAAATTTAAGTTAAGTTTGTTTGTGAAAATTTTTGAAACACGTTATTGTAGTTTTTATTATTGAACGTGGTAATAAAAATTTTCGATTTATTAGTATTTATAGGGTAAAAATTTCTCAAAAAACACAAAAAAACACAAATCTGCACTTTATATCACCAAAATTGTGTGATGCCACAATTCTGAAACTTTGTACCAAAAGAGTTTAAAACCTGTTAAATCCGAAAAATATAGTTTTTTATATGTCAAAACAAGGGAATGTAGCTTATTTTTAGATCCATAAAATACACTTTATAACGCTAAGAAACAAGGGCATTGACAATTATAGCTAAAAAAAAAATCTGACTGATATAAAAAAAATTTAATTTCGATTTTCTTAAAAATAAGATCAACACCTACTTTTCGAGCCAATTTTGTTATGGCCTTTTATTTACTTGAGGAATTATTGATTGATATAGACACAAAAACTTTTAATATTTTTTAAATTAGACACTTAATATAACCCCACCTTTTACCAATCAATCAAATTAGAAACTAAAAATTTAGTGACTTTATCTTTTTCTTTTTCATATGATATTTACAACAAAATTTAAACGTATATAAATTTTTTTAAAAAAATACTAAACTTTAGAGATTTTATATATGCTTTACATTCACATTATTTACAAGTTGGTTCACAAAATATAATATTTAAAAAAAGAATGGACAAGACATAATAGACTCATAAATATAAAAATCTCTACTTCCTTAGGAAAATAATTTTTTTTAAGTCCTCTTTGGATAAATAGTAGCAAAGACCTTAACTTTGCAAATAATGTGGACATCAGGAATCCAGCGTTGGGTTTCCTTTGGTGGCCATTTAAACGACCGTGCAGGACCATTAGGACACATAAATTTTAGAAGCACATCTTTTTCTTCTAAATTAAAATCTTCAATGACTCCTATCCACCACTTTTGCTCATAGGAAACACAGGCATAATCACCTGGTACTAGGTTTACAGTTGTTATCTGGATATTTCCAAAGTCATGAATTAAAGCAAATTCTTCATCAACACTGCATAGCTTAGTGCCTACCTAAACAAAATAGTAACATATGCAATTATTCCGTTTTACTTATCAAACATGTTTTATTAAATGCATAGATAGCAAATGCAGAGGAAATAAAATAAAATACAAATATTTTTGATAATGATTCTGCAGAAATCTAATATCTATTTGAGTTTATCAATAAAAGTTATTACCCATATCTCTTTGCAAACTTGCTAGTGTTGCCAGACGTTTGACTGTACCACCTATCCCATCACAAGGTTGCTTACCATGACTAGTTGCAAAAAAGTTCCATTTAGCAGTAAAACCAAAATCTTCACAATGGAAACAAATATTTAACATATTTTTGCAATTCTTATATTGACCTGCACACCAATCTGAAAAGTATTCAATAATTTTTATTTGAGGCAAATTTGTTTTTATATCATTGCAAACAACCTCAATAATTTTATAAACCATGTTCACATCATGGCTCATATTATCCGAAATAATAAAATAGGATTTGTGCTTGAGAATGCCTTCTTTTTTGAAATAAACAATCACTGGATGAAGTGTACATTGTAAATTTGTCTAATGAAAGCTTTGCACTTCATCCTGAACTACAAATTTATAGTTTTCTGAAAAATCACCCAGAAATAATGCTGTTACCTCATTCATATCTTCCTTTCTTGATCTCAGGTATAATGCTTGACTTCTTGCTAAATACGAACGTGGTGCAAGTTTTTCCAGTTTTCTACATACTAGTTGAATGTATTCAAACACTGGCTCTTTATTATGTGTCAAGTTTGATTTATCTGTTGTTGTCCATTGATCAAATTCAATCTCATCATCATCTTCAAATTCTCCAAGTATATCATAAAGTTTTTCAACCAATGCATTCATAGTTGCTGGGCATTTTTCACATTTCCTCATCATACAGTCTTTATTAGTTATATCACAGACAATACAAGGTAACAATTCTTTGTATGTCACACCAAGAGGATGTAAAAGCAGTTTCAAATTCTGATGAATAGCACAGACGCATACAGAATGTGCTCCTGAGGCACCAACAGTAATACACCATTTAGGTCGCAAGATGCAAAACCTTGAAAATCCTATTTTTATTTCTGGGTTCTTGGTTTTAAAGGCAACAAACAATTCCTTTAAATTACATAAGAGCAAACATTTTTGCTGTGGACATTTTTTTTTATGCTTACATAGTTTTTTTTATGCTTACATAGTTTACATCCTTTTTACCAGACATTATACGGCTATGTTCATCGTCTTCGTAAAAGGTCTTGACCAGTTTAACTGTTACATCAGGAAGAGCTTATCCTAATTTAGGATTAGGCATGGTTAAAATACCTTTTTCTAATGTTAACTTACGCGCAGTTCGAGCTACATAGTTTGTTACATGCAATGTTTCAGATACCTTTTTTATTGACAAGTCTGTTGGAGCAAGTGTCGCAAGTTGTACTTTTTTTGATGTTGATGTAGACTCTGCAATTTTGTTAGTTAACAATACCATCATGTTATCAAATAAGTTTGCTTTTTCCATATACTCATTATTAAAACTTGACTGTTCTTCAAAACTTTCTACTGATATATTAAGGGAAATGGCTACCTTTTTTTAAATGGAGGTTGTTAATGCTGTCAATTTTCATCTACCTTCTCTAATTTTACCTGACTTGTGCAATCCTTTGACCTTAATGGGAGATACTCCAGCAGATGCAAAGTGTGTATCTACACTTTATTTTTTATTTTGAATGGATCTTTCATTAACAATATCAAAATCTTCATCATTTTTATTTTCACTTATACTTTTTGATAAACATGTCATAACTTTACTTCGACAGGTTGGACACAGTTTTTTTCCAGGTATAAGATTTAAACCTATGGTTTCTGTTTCTAACACAGTATGCATTGTAATCACACGTAGAAATGCTTAAAAAGAAAGTAATTACATTACTTAAATAACATTAATTATATATATTATGTAATTATATTACTATATAATTTGTTATATTAATAACTATGAAACATTGAACAAATCTTATTACCAAAAAAACTTATATGACTTATTAATAATGATATTACCTAAAGATATATAAATATATAAATTTTTATCTCTACATACTTTTTGGTGACTCAGAAATGGATTACAGCAACTTTTCTGACTACCCTCATATCTTACAACTAACATATCATAATGATGTGTAAATATATTAGTAATTTGTTCTTGTTTCAGATTTGTTCGTTTTTCAAGTAGCTTACGATCATTGCTGTCAATATCTTCAATCAGATTTCTTTCTTGAGTATATAGTTGTTTATAACAAGCTCCATAATTATTTACAAAGCAGCAATTAATTTTGTTATCCATATAAAAATATAATGAGGAATCTCTGTCTAAACACTTAATACAAGAAATCTTAAATAATCCTAATGTCCCTAACAAAAAAAGTGCACTTGAAAACACAAACAATATCATATCAATATGTATTTATAAAAAACACATTGCTTGAACAAGTAGCTATTAGTTTAATAGACATATTTTAAATGCCTAACTATGTACTAATTATTGTAAATTCTCCATTAACTACTTACAAAAAGTTGTGTAAAAGTAAAAGATAATTAAATATAATTTTATTTAGTTATGTAACTTAACATGGTAATGTTAAGTTACATAACTAAATAAGACATTATTATATTATTTTATTACTTTTTTTATTGATGATAATAAATGTTTTATTACAACAAAACAATCAACAACAAAAGTTACATAATATTGTTAAATTTAATGACATGATATTATGTAATGAAAATGACATTATTATTATGTTAATGAAAGTAAAAAAAAACAAATTTATGAAATGTTCAACTATGTTTTGCAATAACCTGTATATTTTTTACAAAGCTATGATGGAAAAAGCGCATGGAAAAAGTGATAATTGAACATGAAGTGTTATCTATATTATAAATTATGAAAAAATTATATACAATTCGATTCATTGAAAAAAAAACAAAAAAAAAAAACACAACTAAAATCGGAAATGGCAAAACTATTCTGATTATTGGCAAACTTTGCAGCACAAAATACACTTTGTAAAATATAAAAATTACAACAAGCAATTTTGTCATCCATAAATAATTTCCAATAATTTTTATATTCGTTTTTATAAAAGTCTATGGTTTAAACTATTTGCTAAAAAAAATATTAAATAGCAGTGCTAAAAAGAAATATTAACAAAAAATTTCGTTATTATTCCATGTTATTAATATTTGTCTATTAATTTTGGTCCCATTAGTTAATTGGATAAGATCCTAATTGTCTATTCATTATAACGTCCATTCATTATGACGTTTCAAATCGTCGACTATTATTTTACTTTTGTTTAATATTTGTACAAATATCTTTTGATAATGTCAACAAAGTTTTTTTAATACGTAATGCACTTAAGCGAGCAGCAGAGTCGTTATACCAGCATTCACTGAGAAGTTTTACCATTGCTTTTAACTTCTATAATATAAAATCTCGCGATAGGTAAATTAGATAAAAAAAAAAAAGACAAAAATTATTTAGAAATCAGTACCTCATCTTGATGCCAGCTTTCATCAAACAGAGGTCTTTTATTTTGGCGGCAAACAACATCATTCATTTCTTCAAAAGAAGGATCAGAATTTACTGCATCAAAATATGGCAATTCATAAGAATGAATTTTTCCTAAAACATTAAAAACTTAAATGTCTCTATTCTTTAAATAATAGAAATGGTGGAGTTATAATTTATAGCTTTATTTAAATTAAAAAAGTTATAAGCAAAGAGCTTAAGTAACTATAATATAAACGAGAGAAAGATTTGTAGCAAAGCAAGACGCGTAGGGCTATTTTAAATAAAAAAACAATAATCGTTTACTGCAGGACGAATCAAGTAGTTAAATCTTTATTCAACTCAAATAGCAAGCCAATGATAGCAAGCCAATGATAGCAAGCCAATGATAGCAAGCCAATGATAGCAAGCCAATGATAGCAAGCCAATGATAGCAAGCCAATGATAAAAGCCAGTTCATATTTTTGTTTATTTTCTTATTCATATTTTCTTAAAATTAGAATAATCTTTTGTTGATTGCAAGTAGCAAACCACTAACCACTATATCGCTCGTTGCAGAAAAACAAATTTCTTTTTTAGCTAGAAGTTTTTTTTTGCAACCTTAATAAGTGCCCACCGTTTTGACACTTTTTCAAGATGTAATCGAAAACACGACTGTTGTAATTGAAAAATGTATGATGTAACTGTAAAGACGTTATATGCAATTGGAAACTCATAAGACGTAATTGCAAAGATGTAATCGGAAACTTATGATACGTAATTGAAAAATACAAAGTTTAAGATGCGTCTCACTTATACACATATACACCAAATACAATAAAAAAAAAGATGAAAAAAACATTTGAGGCTTAGAAATGTCGATCGAAACAATTATGCCATATATAATAAGTTCGTTAGAGAGTTCATAAAACCAATCGGGTAGTTTCTTTTAAACTAATGACTCGAACATCACACAATGAATAATAAATGAAACATAAACTATTTATTTCCAAAAAATAATGAGATTATTATATTATTTATACTATTTTACATTATTATATTATTTTATTACTTTTAATGAGAAATTTAAACAAAAGTTTTAACAATGCCATTAAAATTGCTGCAGTGTTCAATTAAACACCAACCTTTTTTAAAAATGTTTCTTTATTAAAAATGTTGCGTAATGGATGGTCGTATGTGCCACGTGCCCAACACACAAATACGAATTATGCAACCTATGTTTTTTTAGGAACAACCAAAATTAAACAGTAAATTTTAATCAATTTGTTGACTTCAAGCAGAAATACAAATTTTTAAGAAAATAGTGCTGACAAATACTAAATAAACAAAAAACTGAAGAATGTGTATGTATGTGTGTGTGTATATATATATATATATATATATATATATATATATATATATATATATATATATATATATATATATATATATATATATATATATATATATATATATATATATATATATATATATATATATATATATATATAGTTAGTTAGTGGTAAACTGCGTGGATCTTATCCACAAGCTGAGACATTGTAACGTTCAGCTATAGCAGCCCAGTACTTTTTTTCTTTTTCTTTTAAATAAATATTTTCTCATTTTTCTTAAGCCATTTGTCCAATGCATGAAAGTCATTTATTTCGCGAGGAGTAAAACGCTGCATTCTGATTTTATGTTTGTGACCTCTAATGGAAGAACATGGGCCATCTAACTTGACTTGTAGACTGGTTTGATATTAAGATTGACAAATTCTAAATGGTTTAATATTTTGTATAAATGAATAAGGTCTCCTCGTTTTCTTCTAAGATTTAAAGTAGTTAAATCCATTTTAACTAGCCGTTTCTCATAACTTAGCATTTGGTTTGAGTATGATATTTTCGTGGCCCTGCATTGAACTTATTTAAGCATTAAGATTTTCGCCACATTTGGAGGACTCCACGCTGGAGCCGCAAATTCAAGATGAGGTCGCACATAAGTAGTATACAAAATTTTCCACATATAACAATCTCTACTTTTAAAGGCATTTTTTAATAAACCCAGTATTTTTGAAGCTTTTTTAACACATACTTGTGTTTGATGTTTCCACCTCATATCTGGTTGTACAAAAACACCTAGATCTCTTTCTAATACACTGTTGGAGAGGTCATAAATCATTTCATTTATATTCATTGTATATGTTTTATCAATGCCTCGATAAACTTTCTGATTGCGAATTTCATCACCTTACATTTTTTGCAGTTTAGTTCCATACCCCAATTGTTGCACCATTTCACAATGTTGTCAAGGTCGGTTTGTATTTCTGCTTGTTTATCAATGGAATCTTCTATGGCTATTATTTTGCTATCATCAGCATACATTTTAAATGTGTTTAGCACAACTTCAGGCAGGTTGATTATGAATAGCAGAAACAGTATTGGACCCAAAACAGAACCCTGAGGCACGCCACTGGTAACAGATACCCATTCTGAAACTGTATATTACTAATAGCAACTCTTTGTTCCCTATCTGCAAGAAAAGTTTCAATCCAGTTATATATTTTACCAGTTATACCATATGGTTTAATCTTTATCAATAATCTTTTGTGTTCTACTTTATCAAAAGCCTTTGCAAAGTCAAGATATATTACGCATATATATATATATATATATATATATATATATATATATATATATATATATATATATATATATATATATATATATATATATATATATGTATATATATATATATATATATATATATATATATATATATATATATATATATATATATATATATATATATATATATGTATATATATGTATATGTATATGTATGTGTATATATATATATATATATATATATATATATATATATATATATATATATATATATGTATATATATATATATATATATATATATATGTATATAT